CCAGGATGCACACCTTCCTGACAAAATTGCTGAAGAAAAACGTGTGCATAAGCAAATGTGGTGAAGAAACCTGATGGTGCCCGGCTATCAAAAGATATAGCATCTGGGGTCTTAAAGGCTGGAAGATAAACAAGCGGCCATCTAGCTGAGAAGAATCAAAGCTCACATGGAAGAAGTACATCAGCCTGTCTGACCACGAGGTGTAGAAGCGACCAGTTATCAGACATCAAAGAACTAAAAATCATACCAGTAGGTGCCCACCTTCCCAATACAATCACTGAAGACAAATGTGTGAATAAGCAAATATGGTGAAGAAAGCTGATGGTGCCAGGCTATCAAAAGATACAGCGTCTGGGGTCTTAAAAGCTTGAAGATAAACAAGCTGCCATCTAGCTCAGAAGCAACAAAGCCCACATGGAAGAAGCACACCAGCCTGGGTGACCACGAGCTGTCGAAGGGATCAGCTATCAAGCATCAAAGAACAAAAAATCATATCATTGTAAATGTGGGTGAGTGCAGAGTGGAGACACAAAGCCATCGGTAGGCAACAGGACACCCTCTTACTGAAGGGTTGTGGGGAGATGAGCCAGTCAGGGTTCAGGGTAGCAGCGATGAAACATATAACTTTCCTCTAGTTCTTAAATGCTTTTCCCCACCTCCACACCATCGCCACTATCATGATCCCAATTCTACCTTACAAATCTGGCTAGACCAGAGGATGTACATTGGTACAGATAGCAACTGGAAACACAGGGAATCCAGGATAGATGACTCCTTCAGGACCAGTGCTAAGAGTGGCGATGCCTAGAGGGTGGAGGGTATGTGGGGTAGAAAGGGGGAACCGATTATAAGAATCTACGTATAGCCTCCTCCCTGAGGGCTGGACAGCAGAGAAGAGGGTGGGGGGAGACGCTGGACAGTGTAACATAAGACAAAATAATAATAATTTATGAATTATGAAGGGTTCATGAGGGAGGGGGGAGCGGGAAGGGAGGGGGGAAATGAGCAGCCGATATTAAGGGCTCAAATAGAAGGCAAATGTTTTGAGAATGATGATGGCAACAAATGTACATATGTGCTTGACAAAATGGATGGATGTATGGATTATGAAAAGAACTGTACAAGCCCCCAATAAAATGATTTTTAAAAAAGAGAGTTGTGCGAAGAGAACAAGAAACTGCTACGTGGTTTAAAATTTAAAAAGGTCTGGGTGGGAGTTGTATCCTCCCACCATACTTATTCAATCTGTGTGCTAAGCAAAAAAACAGAGAACTTATATTTTCGAAGAATTGGAGGAAGTCTTTTTACAACCTGTGGCACACAGATGACATGTTTTTTCTTGATTGACAGTGGAGGGTTTGAACTACTTGCAGAGGAAAATCCAGAATTACAGCTTTCAGTATAGATTACAACACAATGTAAAGAAGACCAAAAGCCTTACAAATGGACAAATAGGTTACATCATGATAAATAGATAAGGGTTGAAGTTGTCAATGATTTCATGTTGTTTGGATCTACAATCAGTGCTCATGAAAGCTGTAGTCGAGATAAAAAAAATGCATTGCATTGGGTAAATCTGCTGCACAAGACCTCTTCAAAGTGTTGAAAAGCAAGAAGGTTACTTCATGGACCCAGGTGTGCCCGATCCAAATCATGGTATTTGCAATTGTATCCTATGCACACCATATGAACAGTGAATCAGGAAGACTGAGAAAGAGCCAATGTGTTTGTATTACGGTGTCGGCAATTATATTTAAAGTACCATGGACTGCCAAAAGAGCCAAAAGTGCACACCTCAGAGGCCAGCCAGCATGGTAAGACTTTGTCTCACATACTGTGGACATGTCGTCAGACCAGTCCCTGGAAAATGACATCATGCTTGGTACTATAGAAAGACAAAGAAGGCCCCCAACAAACGGATGGACACATTGGTTGCAACAATGGGCTCACACATAACAACAATTGTAAAAATAACTACATGAATAATGAGTACAAGGGAGAAGAAAATGTTCTAGAAATGAATATGGCGACAATTGTGCAACTCTTCTTGCTATGACTGAATTATTGAGTTGTATCACATGTGAATGAAGTGCTAATAAAACTGTTTAAAAAAAAAAGGGCAACTGTGAGGATGGCACAGGTTTGGGCAGCTCTGCTCTGCTCTTCACGGGGTCACTATGAATCAGAATCAATTCACCGGCATCTAACACTAACACTTGAGCTGTTCTTTAATATTTCAATGTCTGGCTTAAAACACACCCTGTAGTGATATGGTTTCACTAGTAGGGTAAATTTTGATTACAGCACATATTTTTATGGTGCTATAATCCAAATCCTAACATTTATTTTTCTAATTTATCCCTCCAAATAAATGTCTAAATCTTCTCTCATTTTTAATCATCAAACAATATTTGTTTTGTGTGGATCCAATGCTATGGATTCTACGTATAATTCAAACAGATATGCGAAATGACTTGTATAAAGTAAAAAAAAAACAACTATGACACTGTTGTATATAAGTCTTATACATGTTTGACCCATAAAATCCATGCATAATTCTATGATGCTCACCTTCCCGACACAACCGCTGAAGACAAAGC